AAGTAATAGTGACATGGAGTATAATAATGACGTTTCTGAAGGCGGTGATACAGAATGAGAACATGGACAAGCTGTGAAAGAGATGAAGTATTTAAGGCCTGCTTCTGAACTTTGGTACATAGTATGTTCCATTATGGAGCCATTATGTTGACAGATTTTTATTGATCCAATAGGGAAATACTTTTTAAATCAGGAGAGCGTGCCATCATTATTTTGTTAGAAACTCATAGGAATTTACTGAAGTGGGAGGAACTTGGGTGCTTTTTCCTTCTACTCTGGTAGATTTTTTTCAAAGTCTTTTATGATTTAAAAAAAAAAAACTCTTAAAAATTTAAAGCATTCCTTTTATCTTGACTCTAGCCTCTTTAGCAAAGCCTTTCTAGTTATAGAAGATTCATTTATGTTCTCATAAATAAAACAACTAAAGTAAAGATTTCTTTTTAAGTGTCCTGAAGAAAAGATTCTACTTAATTTAAATGGAGTAATTTTTTATGTTTTTCTGTGATCCTTGATTCTTCATAGTTACGTTTTGGTGTGTTTTTTTTCTTTTGTATTTCCAGTATGTGACTTCAAAGCACCTTACATTTTTTTTTTTTATATTTAGAAACATTCTTCCCAACCATAGTTTGCTAGCTGTCCAAAAAATTAAAATATATTTCCAAATGTGTTTATGACCAAACTTATTTAATAGTGTGATTCTGAAGTACACATAAAGTGAATAGAAAATAATGGATTTCTTGATGAGCTACACGTTTGTTATTCATAATTATTTACACATAGAAATTCATTGTTTCCTTTCTTCTTTTGACTTGAGAACATAGAAACAAAACAAATCATTTCCACAAATTTTTTCTCTTTAGTTTTGCAGTGAGGTTTTTGAGATCCAAAATGCCATATGTTAACTTTGCCTGTGTATTATTTTTCTCCTGGAAATTAAGAAGTTAAATGTGTAATACTGGCTAAAAAGTTCATTTGAGGAGCTCGTTTTCATTATTTTCCAATCTCCTGGAAAGAATGCTTGCGTGAGTTTTGAAGAATACAGGTTGTTTGGTACATTTTGAAGCTTATTTACTCTCTGAAATCTCATAATTTATGAAATCAAATTTTGGCTTTATTAAGACAGATTTTTCATTCTATTTTGTAGTAAGATGGAAAGAAAATATTAGTTAGCATTCAACCAGTTTTAGCAGTAATTTTTACCAATGAAGTCTTAACCTGGATTTTTGTCTGTTTAATGGTATAGTAATAAAGCCTGTGTTTCAGTCATTTCTCCCATGTCTCGGCTTCCTAGAGCTTCTCACTTTGTATTCTATCAGTAAATTAAAAGTCATTAAGCATGTTACTTCAGTGCATTGTTCTGTCACACTGACATGTAAAAGTACAGGATAGGCATCTATTAAGAGGGTGTGAAATACATTTAATCTTAAGGGGTAGATAAGGCAAGTTCAAGTACCTTTTAATAGTCTGAGTTTTAACCTTCCATTAGTTAGCAGTCATCTGATGTTATCGTCCACCCTTTCATTCCAGTTTAAAACACCTCACAAAAACCTGACAGTAAAAGGTAGAATGAATGCTTTAAAGACTCAGATTTCTCTAATGTCCATTAAATCGACATTCATTTTAAAATTATTTAGCATAATATACAGTAATTCATTTAACAGGCTACCATTTGAAAGCTGTGATAGGAAAAAGGAGAGACTTATTCTTTGACTAAGTTTGTTACTTTCCTAATATGTTTCTCCTGAGCTATGTAGATAATGTAAATATACACAAGATAGTAAAGGAATATTTTCTATGGATAATGTAAATTAAAATTTTAAAAAACTATATTTCTTGTGACTAAGTTGCAACCTTTTTAAAACTTAAGAACAGGGCTTCCCTGGTGGCGCAGTGGTTGAGAGTCCGCCTGCCGATGCAGGGGACACGGGTTCGTGCCCCGGTCCGGGAAGATCCCACATGCTGTGGAGCCGCTGGGCCCGTGAGCTATGGCCACTGAACCTGCACGTCCAGAGCCTGTGCTCCGCAACGGGAGAAGCCACGACAGTGAGAGGCCCGCGTACCGCAAAAAAAAAAAAAAAAAAACTTAAGAACAAAAAGTATCAATATCCTTAACTCTGATGGCATTTTTTTTTAAATGCGTACTAAGAAAATGTTCTCTCACTCCGAAGACGACAGACAGATTTTTATGGAGAAACAAATCACAACATACAGCTTTGGCAGCTCTGTTTTTCTAAATTTCCAAGTAAGTTTGAGTTTGTGTGAATCAGGCATCACCAGTTTTAATGATGAAGCACTGGTACTTCTCAGGAAGGCCGTCGTGCCCTTTTAGTCCCTCTCTTTCCATCAGGCCTAGTAAGGTTACTCAGGGTGTGCATTACATGCATGTGGCCTGAGTATAGAATTCCATGGTACTAAAATATTATAATTTACATATATTAGGTCACAGCTATATACTGACATCAAACTAATGAATTAGAGCATAGCACAAGTGTTTTTTTTTTTTTTTTTTGGCCATGCCACACAGCTTGTGGGATTTTAGTTCTCTGACCAGTGATCAAACCTGGGCCCCCTGCAGTGGATTGTGGTGTCTTAACCACTGGACCACCAGGGAATTCCCAGCAAGTGTTGATTCTTGAAAGTGCTGTGTAATTGTGTAATAACTAGGGGACTTTTTGAGAAAAGGAATTAAATGTCAGTGTTGCTATATCTGATAAGGGGTTAATATCCAAAATATATAAAGAACTCATACAACTCAATAGCAAAAAAAAAATAGAATCCAATTTAAAAATGGGCAAAGGACCTAAATAGACATTTTTTCAAAGAAGATATATGAATGGCTAACAGGTACATGAAAAGATGCTCAATATCGTTAATCATCAGGAAAGTGCAAATCAAAACTACAGTGTGCTATCACATCACACTTGTTGGAATGGCCATGATGGCCATCATTAAAAAGATAAGAGATAGCAAGTGTGGGTAGGGGTGTAGAGAGAAGGGAACCCTTGTGCACTGTTGATGGGAATGTAAATTGGTGTAGCCACTGTGGAAGACATTTTGGAGGTTCCTCAAAAAATCAAAAATAGAACCATCACATGATCTGGCAATTCCACTTCTGGGAATATATTCAAAGGAAGCAAAAACCTAACTCCAAAAGGTATCTGCACCCCCATGATCATAGCAGCATTACTTACAATAGCCAAAATATGGAAACAACCTAAGTTTCCATTGGTGGATAAATGGATAAAGAAGTTGCGGTATATGTATATAATGGAATACTCTTCAGCCATAAAAAATGAGGAAATCCTACGATTTGCAACAACATGGATGGACCTTGAAGGAACTATGCTAAGTGAAATAAGAGCAAAAAAACCCCAACAAACTCATGGAAAAGGAAATCATACTTGTGGTTACCAGAAATGGGGTCATGGGGAGGGGGAATTGGAGGAAGGCGGTCAGCAGGTACAAACTTGCAGTTATAAGATAAATAAGTACTAGGGCTGTAATGTACCACATGATGACTGCAGTTACTACTGCTATATGATGTATAGGAACGTTGTTAAGAGAGTAGATCCTAAGAGTTCTCATCACAAGGAGAAATATTTTTTCTTTTTATTTTATCTATATGAGATGATGGATGTTAACTAAACCTATTGTAATCATTTCACAATAAATGTAAATCAAACCATCATGCTGTACACCTTAGACAGTGATGTCTGTCAATTACTTCTCACTAAAACTGGAAAAATATCAGTTTGTAAAAAATTATGTCATATTAGAATGATTGATTATCTCCAGTCGTCTAGAAACATAATAAGATGAAGTTAATAGGGATAAATATTATGTGCATGTTTAACTTTTAAAATATATATATAATATCTCATCAACCAGGGAAAGCCAACTGAGCCGTGTGGCCACGGAATTTCCCTTTAGGTTGGGTTTGTTTAGCAGTGACTCTCTGGTGGCCAGGGAAGGGGCAGAGGGAAGGCTAAAGGAATTACCTTGAAGCTTCATGTACAAAGCAAGCCATGTTAATTAGTTTTCGTGCAGTAACAAACCATCCCAAAGCTTCCTGACTTGAAACAATAACTGTTTATTTTGCTCTTGTTTCTGTGGGTCAGCAATTTGGCCTCTATCAGCTGGGTGGGTTTTCTGGGCTCATTCTTGTGTCTGTTGTCAGCTGCTGAGTTGGTTGGAGGCTGGCCGAACTGGGATGGCTTCAAGATGGATGGACTCTCCCAGGCTTCACGTGGCAGCTGGGCAAAGTTCTAAGAGAACGAGTGGAAACACTCCAGACCTCTTGAGGCCCAGACTCAGAACTGACACTAAATCACTTCCACCAAATTCTGTTGGTCAGAGCAAGTTTCATGATCATTTCCATTCAAGGGGTCTGGAAATAGACTCTGTCTCTTGATCAGAGGAGCTGCAAAGAGGGTGACATGGGGAGGGGAAGAATCACTGCCTTCTTTGTAAACAGACTGCCACGCCAAGCACACTGTTTTAATATATTGTAGATCAATGAAAATAGTTTTTAAAACATGCTTTTATTCACACTTTACATATTGAGAAACCACAACTCCCACTACAGGTCGGCTGGCCATGCATTTAGATTAATTTGGACAGTGAATCTAATAGCTGGAAAGTAAGTTTTGTTCTTATGCTGAATTATTTGTTGAGGTAGTATGGGGGGTAAAGTTATGGGTTATAAAGTAAAATGTTTTCATTTTGTTTCAAAATAAGATAAAAGGATCCAAAATGTGTTTTCTGAATGTGTCCAAAAGAAAATCTAAATCTACTTAGATCTAGTAGTACTTAAATCTAAACCTATCTACCTTGTAGATATTTATGTTCCTACAAATAGTTAATGATGTTGAATAAAAACATTGTGCCAAGAGTAAATTACTATAAATGTAAATATTATGGAGTTTTTCTGCTGCAGAAAATTAACAATTTTAAATATAGTTATTTGGAATTTAAAATTTGAACATCTGTCTCATTTCTAGGAGCTCTGCCAGTGCCGACCTGGAGAAGGAAATTGTTCCTGCTGTAAGGAGTGTATGCTGTGTCTTGGGACGCTTTGGGATGAGTGCTGTGACTGTGTTGGTAAGTTGACATACAGTAAAGTTTCTTAATATTTCACATCACGGAATCCTTTAAGAGACTTTAAATAATATAAATGTATTTTTTGTGCCTAGACTAGGTTTTTTATAAGATACTGTAGGTGTATAGAACAATATATTATTGCATTTGCTTGTATTTAATAGTATTTACATATATATGTATTTGTATTTTTATAGAAAAGGTCTGGGAGGAAATTAAAAGCTCTTATTCTTGGGAAGTAGAAGTGGAGGAACAAACAGGGTTTTTTCACTTTTTCTTTTTTTTTTTTTTTTTTTTTTGCATTATGAGGGCCTGTCACTGTTGTGGCCTCCCCCACCGCGGCGCATAGGCTCCGGACACGCAGGCTCAGCGGCCCTGGCTCATGGGCCCAGCCACTCCGCGGCATGTGGGATCTTCCCGGCCCGGGGCACGAACCCGCGTCCCTTTTTCTTTTTTTTTTTTTTTGCATTATGAGGGCCTGTCACTGTTGTGGCCTCCCCCACCGCGGCGCATAGGCTCCGGACACGCAGGCTCAGCGGCCCTGGCTCATGGGCCCAGCCACTCCGCGGCATGTGGGATCTTCCCGGCCCGGGGCACGAACCCACGTCCCCTGCATCGGCAGGCGGACTCTCAAGCACTGCGCCACCAGGGAAGCCCCTACTTTTTCATTTTTATACTGTTGATGTATATATGTTTTTAAAAGCCATGCAAATTAAATTAGATTATTTTTTTTAATGAGAGGGGTCAGGGAGGGGGTGGTTTCGGGGGGAGTCGGGCTTGGCAGAGAGCAGAGTTGTTTGTTTGTTTGTTTTTCTTTTGTCTGCACATGTGGGGTCTTAGTCCCCGACCAGGGGTTGAACCCGTGCCCCCTGCATTGGAGAAGCATGGAGTCTTAACCACTGGACTGCCAGGGAAATCCCCTGTTGATATTTTCTTATAAGAAGTATGTGGTATTGTCACAAGTAAAAATAGGTACTTAGCATAATAAAAATAGATTATCTTCATTTATATACGACTTCATTACAAAGATCCTTGAGAAACCAAAAGGTGTTTTAAGGGCTTTCTGAGGAACAGTCTCTAAGATGTATTACGTAAAAAAAAAAAGCAAGGTGCAAGAGTATGTTTATAGAATGCTATCATTTGCGTTTTGGAAAGAAAACTTACGTGGGCAGACTGTTGCTGGGAGAAACACTCATCCTCTCTCTGACCAGTTAACTCTTTAACCCTTTAAAACTGCAGTTCAGCTGTCCCCTTTTCTCAGACTCCTTCCTCATTGGACTGAGATAGGATCCTCTGTGCTATAAAGAGAATCTGTTTCTCTTTTCTGATTGTCTCTTAAGAGTAACAGCTGTAGCTCATTTCATCTTTGCTGTCCAGCATATTCCTCAAATCCTGTGGTTTTTAGATCTGGATCTCTACCCTCAGGCTTTGTTTTGGGTATGTGTGTGTTTGTTTTGTTTTTACTTTTCCAGATGTACACAAAAATAGAGAGCACAGTGAACTGCTGTGTACCTGTGCCCCAGCATCAAGGCCATACCTGTTCCACCCGTCATCTATGTGTCTATCCCTGCCTTTTTTGGTTGGATGACTATAAAGTAAATAAATAGTTTTACTACAACTCCAAACTACTTTAGTTATTCATCTCAAAAAAAGAGTAAATTTCCTTACATAACACAATGTCAGTACCACATGACTAACATGACTGACAATACTTCCTCAGCATCTAATACCCGGTCCTACTCAGATTGCCCTAGCTGCCTAAAGGTTGTTTATAGTTGTTTTAGTCAAAGCAAGATCCAACAGAGTCCACTTAGTATATTTAATTGTTAGATTTCTTTTATTGTTCCTCCTCCCCTCATCACCTTTTAAAATTCCATTGACTTGTAGGAACTAGTGAGTTGTGATGGAAAACATGCCACTTTCTGGATTTGCCTGATTGCTTCCTGTGGTTATTTAACTTGTTACCCTGTCCTCTCTATCTCCTGTAGATCTAAAGGCTGATCGGACTCAGGTTTAGTTTTGGGAGGTGGGGTGCAGTGTACAGTGTCCTCATTAATAATATCTTGTCGTCCCGCTTTCAGTGTTGCTAAAATTGGTGGGTGGGTTCAGATGGCGAAGGTTTGACGACTTCGTGGTGAGTCCCCACCAGTCTTTCACCCAGTGGTTCCACCCATGGCTTTTTTATATATATTTGGCGTTTTAATCAGTTGTTGTCATTATTATTATTTTTTGCTCAAATTGTCCCATCTTTGGTTAGTAGGAGGCTCTTCAACTTGGCTCTTGAGTCTTTTTGACATGACTTCTGTCGTCTTTGTTGGTTTCAGACAGGCTGTCCCGGGCTCATCTTATAAATGCACATCATATACATTTTATACATTTATATCTGTTGTACAAAACATTCACTTGTTACATAAAACATTAATACGTCTTGTTTTTTCTTTTTTCTTAATTGAATGTTCTGGAATTTCTTCCACATTAACATCATTTTTTGGTAGCTACCTAAAGCCCTGTTGTCGGCAGTAACACTTTATATACTCATTCATCCCTAGGTGGACATGTAGTTGCTTCCAGGCTTGTACTATTACAAATAATAGTATGATGAAAAACCTCGTATAGATAGTCAGTTCTGTTTAATATTGCTAGATGTTGTCAAATTCTCCTTCCAAAGGGGTTTATCGTTTGCATTCCCACCAGTGAGGCACCTCTCTTCATCTCCACTGGTATCACCCTAGACCAAGTCTCCAGCAGATTTTTTTTTTTTTTTTTTTTTTGCGGTACGTGGGCCCCTCACCGTCGTGGCCTCTCCCGTTGCTGGACGCGCAAGCTCAGCGGCCATGGCCCACGGGCCCAGCCGCTCCGCGGCATGTGGGATCCTCCCGGACCGGGGCACGAACCCGCGTCCCCTGCATCGGCAGGCGGACTCTCAACCACTGTGCCACCAGGGAAGCCCTCCAGCAGATTTCGACTGGACTTGGAAACACTGTATTTTGATGGATTTTGAACTTCTTCCACTCTACTTCAGAAACTCCAGCTCCTTTAAAACACATTTTATTGGATTTTTCCATCTCTTATCCCTCCTTTTGCCTGTTATCTTTGTATCCTCAGTCACTTCCCCCTCGTTTATTAATAGCTTCAGTACCTGAATCAACGTCTCACTTCCACCACTAGACCCACTGCCCCTTTCGGACAGTTCCAATGTGCGCATTGAAGATCCACCCTGGCCTTTTGTTCCTAGGCCTCCTTAGTGATGATGGTTTTTAAATCCACCCCGCCGTCATTTACCCAACGCATAGGTTGGTGCTTAATTCCCCGCTTTCCTCACATCTGACATCCAATTCAAACCAAACGATCCTCTGTTGCACTTCTAAAATATGACGTGAGAGGCACATTTTAAAGATGTAATAGGGGATCGATCAAACAAGGTAGGGCAGAAGACCAAGAAAGAGGAAAACATGGGTTGAAGGAAACAATAGCTTTAACCAGGAGTTAAGGATGGTTGTAGGATGATAACTGTTCTTTCATATGATGGTCAGTCAGGTGCAGCCATAGAGGAGACACAGGAGAAGCTGAGCAAACAGCTTTCATCATGCTCCCAGGTCTCAGAGAGGGGTCACTGCATTGCCACGCAGGGTCCCAGGGGAAGCGCCAGGTTTTGGTCAAGTGGGAAAGACAGAAGCAGAGGAAAGTGTTGGCAGTCTTCTTTTGGGGTTTCTGCAGGAAAGGCAGGGTGGGGCAGGGCAAGCAGTGTAGAAGTGGCTAGTCTGAATAGTTTTGGTGGACTCTAAGCTGCAGGGGTCGTCCCTAGTTGCCTGGTACATGGCCCCAGGATGGTGAAGGCAGAGGAATATATTGCCTCCCGGGGTGTACTGGCCAGAGATAGGAGGTCTGGCTCTGCATTGGTTAGTTTGCTGGATCCAAGAATTACCTACCCCAGGAGGGGCAGGCTGTCTCCCACCAGAAAGGCTTTTTCTGCATTATACAGAAGATTTAAAGCATCAATGATACAGAGACCTAGGAGACAACTAGCCTGACCAAAGCAAGAAGTGAGGGTTCTGAGGGGCTTATCTCTGAGAAGGAACTGAGTTCCATAGGATAGCAAGCATGTACTTGAGAAGCAGAATGATTTTTCAAGATATGCTGAAAGTTTATGTATGGTCCTCAAGAAAAGAAACTTCCAAGCATAGAAATTCCAAGAAAAAACAAAAGTTCGACAAGAAAATATTAGTCCATAAAGGAATTAAATATAGCAGTTCGTTTTCTGTTATGAAAATTTTCACACATACACAGAAGTGGAGAGAATAGCATAATGATTCCTATATACCTGTCACCTACTTCAGCAGTTGTCAAGAATATGCCACCTTCGTTTCATCTGTCCTTTTCCATTCCTTTCTCTTTCCTTGTGTGCAGGTGTTCAAACAGCAAGTAACATTGTGGTAACCTAAACGGGAGGAGAGTCCAAAAGGAAGGGGGCATCCACGCGCATGGCTGACTCACTTCGTTGTGCAGTGGAGGCTAACACAGCATTGTAAAGCAACCATACTCCAATAAAAATTAATTTAACAAAAGAAAGCAAGCTAGGGGCTTCCCTGGCGGCGCAGTGGTTGGGAGCCCGCCTGCCGATGCAGGGGACGCGGGTTCGCGCCCCGGTCCGGGAAGACCCCACGTGCCGCGGAGCGGCTGCGCCCGTGAGCCGTGGCCGCTGAGCCTGCGCGTCCGGAGCCTGCGCTCGGCAACGGGAGAGGCCACAACAGTGAGAGGCCCGCGTACCGCAAAAAAAAAAAAAAAAAAGAAAAAAGCAAGTTAGAAACAGTAAATAATTTTTACTCCTGAATTTTTCAATATCAATCTCTAAAGTAAATACAGACACTTGCCTTTTTAATCATAGTGCCTTGTGACACCTAACAAAATTAACAATAATTTCTTTGTTTAATCTAAAATTCAGTTCATGGTCACGTTTCTCCTGATTTCTCAGAAGTGTGCGTATAATTGATTTGTTCAAGTGGATCCAGACAAGGTCCTTGTGTTATATCTGGTTGCTGCGTCTGAGTCCTCCTTTAATCCAGACTGGCCCCCTCTTTTTTTCTCATGCCATTTGACATACTGGAGAAATAGAATCAGTTTTCCCGTAGAATATCCCACATTCGGGATTTGACTGTTTGCTTCCTTGAGATACCATTTAACTTGTTCCTCTCTCCATATTTCCAGTAATTTGGAGCTAATTATGAAAGTTTGGTTAGACTCAGGTTTAATCATTTTTTGCCAAGAAGACCTCATAGGTAATGGTTTTCAATATTTTATGGAGTTCAAAGAAAAGTTCATTTCATCTTGAAATTAGAAATATTTTCCTTTGCTTGTGTGACATTGGACAAGGAAATTCTATCACAGTATCTGTTCTGCAGTCAGCAGTGTTCATGGGGTCATGTGAAGGTAGCTGCTGTTTGCTGGTTTTCAACGTTCAGAATCAGTGTTTAATAAGACAAGAAGATTTCATTATGCATAGGCAACAGAATGTGTAATAGTTATAAAATTTGTTGATGTCACAGGAGGAGTTGGGTAGGGAACGTCAAAAGGGCAACAGTATCCTTATCTGCAAATGAGGGAATTAAGCAACGTGGAATAAAAGTGAGAAGTTTAAGTGTATTTAAGATTACAAAAGAAACAAATAATAGTATTAGAATAATATAATTTTTTTTTTTTTGCGGTACGCGGGCCTCTCACTGCTGTGGCCTCTCCCGTTGCGGAGCACAGGCTCCGGACGCACAGGCCCAGCGGCCATGGCTCACGGGCCCAGCCGCTCCGCGGCATGTGGGATCTTCCCGGACCGGGGCACGAACCCGTGTCCCCTGCATCGGCACGCGGACTCTCAACCACTGCGCCACCAGGGTAGCCCTAGAATAATATAATTATTAGAAATATGGGAGAGAGATGAGGTTAGTATAAATGAACTTAATCTTCATTTTTCGCGTAAGAAGATTAATAGGCAATGTCTATGGTTGTTTTTACTGCTACTTATACATTAATCATTTTTACTTAAATTCTTGTAGCAGTAACCACCAGAGAAACTTAGAACAGACTTTAAAAGTAGCTGTGTATGGGGAGTGCAGTTTCGGGTGGGAGGAGGGGAAAGGAATGCTCTTTTCATTGTAAGCTCCTCTGGACTCTGTTGTTGCTGTCTAACCAGCACACTAAAAGAAAGGAATAACTTTTTCCCCTTAGTTTTAATTTCTACCCTTAAAATGTGGTTTCATTGAGTAAATTCTAACTTGACATATCCTTAGTTTTCAAATGTATGATGAAACAGGTCAGATTTATAAAAGAATTAAGCACAGATTTTAAAACCCTTTCGTATTTAGTTGTTGTAGACCAAGAACACAATAGTCATGAATTCTGGCTCACTGAAAGAAGTCGCATAGGGATTCTGGGCACTTAAATGATTTGAGATGCTTGCCTTTTCAGTTGTTGCCATTTGTTTCCTGGTTTTTGGCCTCCCAGGCTGTCATGTGCAGAGCCAATTTCTTGAAAAATTTTAGTATAATTAGTATGTAAATTTTGGTAGTGAAACAATGCCACAGAGGAACAAACTTTCTCAAGAAAATGATAATGAAGAGAAATGAGAGGTTCCAAAATAAACTTTATAGTCAACTAAACAAAAGCTCCCTAACAATGATAAACTTCAGGGCAGTGGTGAGATGCTTCTCAGAAAGGTTTTACTAACTGGTTTAAATTATGGGTGGTTAGTAACTCCAACCAGAAAGTGATCCATTTTACATAGTGAAAATGGACAACTAAAGAATTTCCACAAAATTGAAAAGGTTACTTTTACTGAGCAGGATAACTCCCACACTTCATTCGAAGAGCAGATTCCATGGTTCACCACCCTTGAAAGAATGCAGAATCTGAAGAGTGCTTTAGTGTGGAAATAGAAACAAAATCCGCTTGCCTAGGAGAACCTCTAGTGATGACCTCTGGACAAGAGCCTGATTAAAAAGGAAGATAGATAAAAATTTTATAATGATACCATGGAAACATATTACCTACAACTGTTTACTTCATGCTTCCTGGTTTTAATGCAGTGTATTGAGATTTAAATGAAAAATGCTTTTGGCCTAAGTTTGTTAAATGCACAAAACTCCAAAAAAGTTTGTTGTTTGTTTGTTTTTTTATGTAATGGAATCCCAGGATATGAGCACTGAAGTTTCTTCAAAGCCTCAGTAGATGTTGAGTTTAGCACTTCTAACAGTTGGACTCGTTTCTTCACCCTTTCCTCTCTAATTACTAGTTTTTATTCATTATGGAGTCTGGCAGAAGAATATATTATGTATGTTTGCATAAAATAAGTATTCTAAGTATTATTTGCTTTTCAGTGGCACTTAAAGAGTATTTCTAGAATGTGATTATTAGAGCAGTGGACACAAAATCAGGCTGAATCATAATCTTGTCTCTAATCCTAGATTATATAACATTGGACAAATTATTTAACTTATCTGGGCCTTTTTCCTCTTTTATGAGTAAAGGAGTCCGATTTGACCATTGAATCCGTGATTCTGTCACACAATCTAAATCATAAAAGTTGAGGTATATTGAAAGATATTACAAATGGTATGCACAACCTTGTTATCCTCAGCTCTTGCCTTGTCCCTTAAACTAACAAAATGTGGAACACACATGTGAGAGTTTTTCCTTTTCCCTAAATTTATAACGTACAGGACTTTATAAATTTGGTATAACTTTTCAAACTTTTAATGTGAGGAAAAGGAAAAACTTCATATTAGACCTAATAGTTGCTAAACAAAAATGAAACATAATTTAGCTTTTAAAAGTGAAATGTTCACAAAAGGAAATCCAGAGGGTTCTGTTTCAGTTATTATTGCTAGTAAACAACCTACCCCAAAACATAGTGGTTTAACACAGTAGTAATCATTTAGTTAGCTCACAGAACTGCATTTTGGGTGAGGTTCTTTGGGGTCTCTCCTTTCTGCTCCACACAGTGTCAACCGGGACAGCTCGAAGGCTGGGGCTCATTAAACATTTCCACAGCTCTCTCCTTTATAGAAAAACTCTTTGGAAAAGTTTTCTATAGTGACTAATTCTCTTCTGCTATGTTTTCTTTTAAAAATAATTTTTTTTAATAATTCATTTTGAAACAACTTCAAATGTAGAGAAAATTTGCCAAAAGGGTAAAAAGACTCCCCAGTTATTAACATTTTATTGCATTTGCTCTGTTGCTTGGTACCTCTGGCTCTCACCCTCTCCCTCCCCCCGGCCAACACATACACACACTCGCACACTCATGGGCACACACTCCCATGAGACTCTTTTTTTGAAACTTCAGAATAAAAGCAAGCTTTACACACGATGTCCCATCACTGCTAAACAACCTTGATCTGGGCACATTGGTGTCTGCCAGATTTTTCCATATTAAAGTCACCGTTAACCCCTTTGTAATTGATTAGTATTTTGTAGAGTTTTCCAAGAGTACATCAGTATGCTCCTCATCCAGCCTCTACCCATCAGCCTTAGCATCCATTGACAACTCCCATCTGATCAAACACCTCTATGATGATTGCCAAATGATGCTTTACTCTTTCCTTCATTTCGTCTACATTTATCCTTTGGCACTCTGCTAAAAGGAAGAGCTTTCCCTTCTCTTCCATTTTTTTATTCTTTTATTTATAATATAAGGACTCATCAATCCCTATTTTATTCATAGGGTGGTAATCCATTACTATCACTATTTATTTTAATGTTAAAATTGTCAGTTTGGCCAGTGGGAGCCCCTTCAGGTTGCCTCCTGTGTTGTTTTGACGTGTTCCATCATTCATTGATCACTTCCTTACTTTCTGGCACAGAAAGGTGTTCCAGGGTCATTTCGGACGTTCCCTAACCCAGCCATGGAGTCAGTCTTTCCCCCAAGGAGCTCTGTTCCTCTTAGCCAAGGATAGGTATTTAGAAAACAAGATCTGGGCACTTAGTGTGCTCATTGCTACTAGGGTGTCATCGCCTCTAGGCCCTCTCAGCAAAAAACCTAGGAAGGTATCTATGTACAGTGTTAGAAGGCACCTGATTTTAATATGTTGGAGCTTGGATTGCAAGGCAGTACCTAAGAATATCTCATGACAGTCAGTGAGAAAAAGGAATTTTATTCTCTTTGTCTTCCTCGCCACCCCCACCCCCCCAGGTATGTGTAATCCTCGAAACTACAGTGACACGCCTCCAACTTCAAAGAGCACAGTGGAGGAGCTTCATGAACCCATCCCTTCTCTCTTCCGGGCACTCACAGAAGGAGACACTCAGTTGAACTGGAACATTGTTTCCTTCCCTGTTGCAGAAGAACTTTCACATCATGAGAATCTTGTTTCATTTTTAGAAACTGTGAACCAGCCACACCACCAAAATGTGTCTGTTCCCAGCAATAATGTTCATGCACCTTATTCCAGTGACAAAGGTAACTGCCAAAGCTGGCTTTTTCTCTCTTGCCCCCCTCACTTTCTCTGTGGTCTGTGAAGCCTATATTAACATTATCTTTTAGAGTAGCTTTTTGGTTTTGAGTGTGTATAGTCTTAAGTAAGTTCTGGACTTTAATAACCCCAATCCCTGAGTAAACGAGGAGGAGTTGTTCTCACAACTCCTTCAGACTTCTGATGATAGAAGTTCTGTTGGAAAATAGATAACCAGGTTCTAATTTTGATATTTATTTGCATTATGCTTTCATTGTTCTTTTCATGAGATAGCAACAAGGCTGCTTACCTTATGCAGAGTTGTTCATCGTCAGGTAACATCCAGAGTGTCCTAGGAGGTAAGGTTTCTATAATAGCATTAGTGCCACGAATGCTGCCAGGTCATCAGCTGAATTTGTTAATGAGCAAGTTGATATTACATTCACCTCATTTCCAAGTGTAGCCTTACCCCAGGCAGTGCTCTGCAAATGAGTGCTGTTGGTCAGAAGGGAAACTGAATGAGAGAGTGACGTGTACAACTTGGAGAAGCATGTTAAGGAACATTTATTAGTGAACACAGGTCATACCTTAACTTTGGAATGTAAAAGGCGTGTAATTTTCATAATGTCTGTGATGTTTTCAAATTAAAAGCTCCACACAATTTCACTGTGGAAGAATAAGACAATTATGAATATTGCAATTATTTCTTAAAATATGAGATGAGTTATACATAAACAGTATAATTTGTGCTTTTTTATTTGGCTTTTTTGTTGTGCCCTCCATTTACAACCCTGTCTGTAAAGTCGTATGAACTTTGGCCATCAATAGTAAAAGCAAAACAGCTTTTGTTGATAAAGAGTAAGAATCCTTATTTCCTCTCAGGTTAAAGTACTTTATAAGACAAATTATAAATCTTGGGAAACATCAGAAATGTACCGAAATGTGTTTGCTACCACTTTCCCATTATTAAAATGTAAATAATCAACATGCTAGATATTAAATAATTCATAATTTTTTCTCAAAGTTTATTCAAATTCATGATCTAATAAGCAGGGAGCTAATTCCTGGAAACACCACCCAGGATAATTTCTAATAGCTAATGCTGAATTGTGCCACATTGCTAATCACATTGCATCATTTGAATTACTTTATTTTATTGTAAATTCTCAGTATAAATTTAGAACAGTGTTTTTCAAACTTGTTTTAGCTGGATAATTCTCTCCTTATGGAAATCTTATCAGAAATGCCCAGATCAAAGTCTGACATCTGAGGAAGTGGTGAAGGAAGCCCTTTGCCTCCGAGCTGGAGTGGGAAACTCCCTTCTCAATGTGATTAACAGATGTGATCTTTTTTCCCCACACCTCACCTGTTGTCCTGGGCAGACTAGCAGCAAGAGAGCTAAGATAAATAACTGTTAATAATATTCAGCTAAGTGTTAAAGCCTTTCCTGCTTTTCCTATTTATTTTGCTAAAATCTTAATCTTTTATTTTTCAGAACACATGTGTACTGTGGTTTATTTTGATGACTGCATGTCCATACATCAGTGTAAAATATCCTGCGAGTCCATGGGGGCATCCAAATATCGCTGGTTCCATAACGCCTGCTGTGAGTGCATTGGTCCAGAGTGTATCGACTATGGTAGTAAAACTGTCAAATGTATGAACTGCATGTTTTAGAGAAGGAAATGGTATGCACACCAAAGCAATTTAGTCAAGGGTATGAAAAGCTATTCAGTGATGTCTACTGGTTGCACCTGAATGCCAGCAGGTTAGGAAGATGTGAAGAGTTTGGATTGAGTTACTTCTAAAGTATGACAAATCCGGGATTGTGTTAAATTATGTTTATAACTGCTCTTATTGATCTTACTGCCCGCGGGTAGCGATAAACCCTTTCTTCTAAACACGTGTACAGCTTTGATCACGTGAGAAGCAAGTGCATAGAGAACACCTTGAGAGAGGAGAGGTTTCTAACACAAAGCCTGGTGTCATTTTCTTGTCGCATTCCAGAAGCCTTTTGTGTCGAAGGTTTACAGCATGTTAACATAGGTTATGATTTCTTCATTGTACTTCTCCTAGGACACTGAGTTTTTAGAGTTGTTTGCCATTTTTCACTGTGCCTGGTATTATTTACCTGTTCTATAAGTAGGGTAGATATCCAAATATATCACCCTGTGTTCTCACCAAAAAATCACCATAAAAAGCTTAATATCAGACCTCTTTGTGTTGGTTTTAGAAGGTAAATGCTTACTGTATTTTACAATTAACTCTTCCAGTTCTATAAGTAGGGTAGATATCCAAATATATCACCCTGTGTTCTCACCAAAAAATCACCATAAAAAGCTTAATATCAGACCTCTTTGTGTTGGTTTTAGAAGGTAAATGCTTACTGTATTTTACAATTGAAAACTCTTCCATAGCCGAACCCACCCTACGCTACACACACCGACAAAGCTGTAGGGAAAGTTTCTCCTCCTCCTCCATCCCCGGCCCAGAGTACTGCTGTAGGTAGTGATGAAGCATCTTTACCAAGAATTGCAGGGCACACCTATGAGGCTCTGTGAAATACACTGCTAGGGTAAATAAGAAGGGAGAGCTTTCCTCTGACTTAAGGTACCAGCTTAAATAGCTCCAGGAAAGGGAAACCACTGCCAACCGGACTCCAGGGAAGTTTTGTGGAAATGGCAGGGCTGTGCTAGCTGGACAGTGGGGATGAGCCTGCTCAGCCTTCGCGCAACGGTCTCCAGTGGACGGGTGGTTGGAGGGGATAAAGCAGAGAATTCCAGGAATGAACGGGGAGGGTTGAAAATGCCTGGTATTCTAATGGAAGCAAACTTAAAACTACTTACATTCATTATGTTGTTATTTTGTAATCTTTCCTTTAGGTTTGTGTATAGATCAGGTGTTCTTGTTAAACAAGGGTTATCACACAGTAGGAGGTTAAGACTGTGAACTGCCGCCCACCCCCGCAAAATTCCCTGTTCAAGATGACATTAACTCTAAACACACTTCAGAACATTTGGGCAGCTTTTTATATAATGTTTCAATGAAGATAAGTTTAAATAGTATGTGCCCTTCGTGGTAATAAAATCTCCATCTTCAAGCATGAACCTGAAACGTACATATTTATATTCAGAGACTCTTAGCTTTAAAAAATTACTAATTTCTCTAATAGTATGTATTTGAATTCTAAGTAACTTTTAGGAATACCTCTTTGTATATCTAAATACTGTAGTATATAAAAATAAATAATGCTCTTTGTATTCATTATCTGGACAATGGTTAGTTACAAGATCATATGTAATATTATGATTATCATAAAATGTAAAGACTTGACACCTTTTCTGCTCTTTCAGATAACTCTAGTGAACACTCAAGGTACTTTAGCCTTTTAGAAAGTTGAAATTTAGCTCATGGATGTATTTTTTGGTTGGGAAAACATTGGGATGTCCTTTTCTTACTTTTACCTAGAATGCCTTTTTTTACGAGTGCCTTGAAAACAAACATTAGCTCCCTTTCTTCATTAATAGCTATAAAACTGAAGGTTTTCTTGAACTTACGAGATAATTTTAAGAAGTCTGCAGCCAGCTGCTTCATTTCAACTTTGCTGTTTTTCAGACTCATTTATACTTAGGAATAGAGGAATGCTTTTGTGTTTATTGACAACATACTTAATGTTTCCATAAATATGTCAACAAACTTTTTAAAACTGCATTTATCTTCCTTTTTAGGTATTCATTATTACATTTTAAAATGTAATATCTCTTGTTGGGAGAATAATTTCTTGAGCCATGTTATGTTTTAACTGATTTTTCTTTCCTCTATTTCTCCAAATAGAAATTATCCCTAAATATAATGGTAAGTTGTATATTCAAATTTTACTTAATTTTTTGTCTTATGAAGGGGTTAAAAGAAAGTGTTCACCTAAACGATTCCATTTCCAATTCTATAATGTACTTCAGGTTTTGAATAACAATATTTTTACAAATTAGAAGTATAACATTTGGGAAACTGATAGCCCCACTAAAGTTTAGACCTTCTATTACCATTCCAAGCACAATTCACTTCTATACTGAAGCTCTGATATAAAAAAAAAAAAAAAAAATTAATCAAAAGTTAGGTTACGTTTTTTATAACTGGATCCAAAACATTAAATCTTAAGTCTGTAGGTATTATAAAAGCCGTATACAAAAGGTTCTTTCCTCTAGTAAGACATGTCCTTGCTTGTTGGTTTTCCTGTCTCCCCCATAACATCTAATTATTACTGAAACTGTACTCATAACAGTGGCACCAAATCAAATGATAATTCAAATGCAATGTCTTTGTTTACAGAGATGCTATAAAAGAGAGGCCTTCATTTAGAAATATGATTTCTAAAGTTTCAGAAACAAAATTGATAAAATGTTAGAATATTTGAATAACTATTTATAAATCAGAATAACATCAAAACGGAGAAAAGGAACTAAGACTTCTGAAAAATGAGGTAAATATAAATAAGCCACATATTTAAAGTTTGTTTTTAATAAAATCTTCGTTGAAGATTTTTTAATCTATTCTGCATTCCCAAGACTTTATGTTTATTGTATTTTACATGATCTACAATATATAAAATTATGTATTTTTTTCTTTGGTTATTCCTATAAACAAAAAAGTATTTTAATAAAAAATTAAAATGAGTGTGCCATGTTTTTGTTAACTTCAGCATAACAAACCAAAATAAGTTTGCCGTTTCTGTCTAGTGAGGTTATTGTTCAAGGGATCAGCCCAGGCATGCCTCCTCTCTGGACGTCCCTACAGAGTCTGCTGAAACAAAGGATCTTTCACAGTTTGCTCTCTGTTTTTTCATGGGCTTTATTCCAATATGGGGAAACCTTTGAAATGAAATACGCACCTTCTCCTTGCTTGCTCTGTGGGCCTTGTGATGCCAGCCAGCCTCACGAGAACTTCCTGGTGGTGGAAGGAGTCACTGAGAGAACAAGGTGGGAAGAGACTCCCGGCCGTTCCGCACTAACTCTCAAAGGGCAGTGTTACTGGAATTGAAAGCCCTCAGCTGTACACTCGTGAAATCAGTGTTATTTCACAGAATGTTTTGACAGCCTAATGGAGGGGGAATCTGGAGAGGGGAAAATTCAAGAGGACAGGTTCCCCGCCTGAGTGACTTCAGGGATGATGGACCTGAGGGGTAGATTAATTTCAAGAATGACAGTTCATTTGATTCGGAAAGATGTTCTTTCTGAATGGCAGGCAGTCGTGTGGAGCCGAGGGGAGAGAGGGTCAGAGTTGGGGGTGGAGGGTGTCTCTGAGCTTGAGGAGTCAGCAGGGGCCAGACCGCGGGCAGGCTGGTGCCCATGCCCGTCAGCTCTACCCCCGGCGTCTTAGTCCATGGAGCCGGTGGGCACGCCTGCAGCCTGTGGCTTAGGAGTTACAGCTTTGAGCCCTTAGAGATTTTTCCTAACCAACAGAAAATAAACTCATTTTACATCTTTTTATTTTGAAGTCTGTGCTGGAAGGATGGAGGCAGCAACAGCTGCAAGGTCTGGCTTGTGAGATGAGAACCCTCAGTGCAGAAGCAAAGACAGAAGAGACCTCTGCCCTCCCCCGGGCGTGCTGTGACTCGCAGAAGGAAGCTGGGAAAATGCAGAAATGCCCTCATTTGACTGAAGGTAGCACAAAAGTTAGACACAGTCACCACTGCAGTATCTTTACAGCAGAAAGAATTATATTTCCTGCCCTCTCCGCTTACCGCTTCACACTGAAGTCGGGGTGGTCCTGCCCTGGGCGGATAGCAAGGCCTCCGTGCTCCTTTGCCCCAGAGGGTTGAGTTGCCCAGTAGGAGGTAGGCACACAGACAGCCTGCTTTTGTTTTCCAGAAGCCTTACCTGCTCCCAGGGATTCTGCTGGGGGAAGGGGAGAGAGTGAGCGCCTTGGCAGCCTGAGAGTGAAGAGAGGGCCTCGGAAGAGGCCTGGACCTCCCTGGCCGCGGGGCTGTGCCAGCCTCCACTTGCCCTGGACGAGGCTGGAGCCCTGGGCGGGCCCGCAGCTCACACAGGGGGCCGGGCTCCTGAGCCTGCAGGTGCCTCTTTCTCGAGGTTTCAGCTTAGGGATGGATGTGAGCAGCCCAGCCCTGGTTGTCCAGGGCACCCACACTGGCCCCTAGGGCTCTGTGAGATGCAGGACAGGTGACCGCCTCTCAGGCAAACGTTGGATGCTCTGGGGCTCAGAGTCAGACTTTGATTTAAAGAAGTAAGGAGACGCAACACGTGGTGCCCCGGGTTTATGGCCTCTCAGCCGCAGCCCTGGCAGCCTCGCTGCTCACACTACCTTCTGTCCTTCCTCCAACCGCCCACCCCCACCGCTGGCCCTGCCCCCTCAGCAGCACACCAGGTTCACTCCACCCTTGGGTTTTGCAGGAGCTGTTTGCTCTGCTGCACCAGCTCTTTGTGCAGATTTTGGTTCCTTGTTCTGACTCAGGTCTCAGCTCAGATACCATCTCCACCACCATTTCTAAAGCAGCAGCCCCTGCCTGTGACCCCCATCCTGTTCCAATTTTTTAATAGGCCGTGACCCCCCAAAGTGTCTACCAGCCTCTTGTTAATCATCTCTTCTCCTCAACTAGCGTTGGAAGCCCATGAGGGAGGGGCCTTATTTCTCTGTTCATTGCCACCCTAAATACAGTCCCCTGCGCCCTGGAGGGCAGCACAGACTGTGTTATGGATGAATGAACTCAGCA